GGAGAAAAACCATTTCAATGCATGGAGTGTGGAAAGAGGTTCAGTGCAAAAAGTAGCTATATCATACATAGCAGAATCCACACGGGGGAGAAACCCTTTCAATGTCTGCAGTGCGGAAAGAGCTTCAGTCAAAAAGCTCGTCTTAAGTCACATGAGAGAAACCACATGGAAGAAAAACCATTTCAATGCATGGAGTGTGGAAAGAGCTTCAGTGCAAAAAATAGCTATATCATACATGGCAGAATCCACATGGGGGAGAAACCCTTTCAATGCGTGCAGTGCGGAAAGAGCTTCAGTCAAAAAGGTCATCTTAAGTTACATGAGAGGATCCACACGGGAGAAAAACCATTTCAGTGCATGGAGTGTGGAAAGCGCTTTGCCCGTTCTGATAACTTTCGTGCCCACGCATGGACCCACACAGGGGACAAACCATACAAATGCCTGGAGTGTGGAAAGAGCTTTTGTACATCCAGCATCTTAACTTCCCATCAAAGTATCCACAGAGGAGGGAAACCTTATCAATGCACCGAGTGTGGGAAGTGCTTCAGTCAAAAAAGTCACCTTAATATCCATAAAAGAATCCACACAGGTGAAAAGCCCTATAAGTGTACCAAGTGTGACAAATGTTTCACCAATTCGTGGGGCCTCACTTGCCACAAAAGGCTCCATTCTAGGGAGAAACCTTATGAATGCCGCACATATGGAAAATGCAAAAAAAAGCTGTAACTTATATAGCAGAGTCCACACTGGGGAGAAACCCCATGAATGCTTGGAGTGTGGAAAAAGTTTCAGCAGAAGGGGCAGTTTAATCTTACATAATAGGATCCATACAGGGGGAAAGCCGTATCATTGCACAGTGTGCAGAAAGCTTCGCCCACAAAGGCAATTTCAGTTTACATGACAGGATCCACACCGGAGGGAAGCTATATAAATACCTAGAGTGTGGAAAATGTTACAGTGATAGTGGCAGTTTTACCTCCCAAAATATAATCCACACAGGGGAGAAACTATTTAAATGCATCGAGTGTGGAAAGAGTTTCAAAGATGGCATGAATCTTTTGCTGCATAAAAGAATCCACACAGGGGAGAAGCCCTATCGGTTTGTGGAGTGTGGAAAGAAATTCAGAACCGGGAGTAACTTTAATTGCCGTAAGAAGACGCACAGCAGGAAAAAAATAATGTGAATTGGTTCGTGTTGCTTCTCAAAATTTGCTTCATGCCCATAGAGGTTTTGCAGGAGATTCTGTAGAAATAAATGGAGTATGGGAAGGGCTTCCGAAGCAGCAGAAACGTCTTGATCCATTAAAAAGAAGAGTTCCTTTGTAGAACTAGGAGTTAACTTTTAGATATTAGATCTTTCTGATGGATTAGAGTAGAGTAGAATTAGATTAGAAACAATAAGAATAGAAATGGAATAGAATATAGAAATAGAAAGGGGGATGGGAAGGGAATTCTCTCATTGGCTAAGTGAGATTGGACATACAAGGCCTGTGTCTCCAATGCATACACTCTCATAACATGCAACAAATGATCAGCTTTTGTCAATTCGAACAGCAAAGGGAGGGAGGCAGTTG